GAGTACCCGCCTACTTACGTGAGAAATGAGGAACTAGATAGACTGTGTGCAGAGATAGAATCTGGTTCGGGACGCTTCGCCGAGTTCGTCTCCGACTACTCACGACGTTATTCGGACAAGATCGGGTATGCCGAAGGGCCCGAAGATTTCACGGTGATCATGGAACTCCAATCCACCGTCCAGGCCTGGATGATGAGGTGTTCCCACGTGAAGACGATAACGTTTGATAGACCCATCATCGCTTCCGTTTCAATCGAAGGAATTCGCGCGTGATAGCCACGGCCTGTTCGGCGAGCTCGGCGTCTATCTTCAGCTTCTTGACGCTGTTGATGAAGAGGCTCGGCACGTACTCTACCTCGCTGCAGAACATCTTCCGATTCACGCAACAACCCACGTCCACGCGAGTGAGGAGACGCGGTAATGCCGTCTTTCCCACGGTGAACTGCGGCGGCAGCTTCGCGATGACCTCGTCGCCCAATCGCCGCGCATCCCTCAATTGCTTGTTATCCGGGAAGGACCCTCCTTCGCTCTTCGGCTGTCTCTCGTCCTCATGCTGTTCGTCGGTAATCATGCATTTGCACATATCATGTACACATTCATGGTGCGTTCGAGCGGCTGACAAGAATAAAGTGAATTTTTATATTTCGTTCAGTCTGGCAAAATCGCCGTACAACAGCTTTGCTTTTTCGTTATATGCCCTTGCTGCATCCTGCTCGTTGTCAAAACTTCCTAAGAATTGTTGTTTGTGGTCCTTGCAAATACTGGCGCCCCACTTGCCCCGGTTCTTATTGAAAAAAACCCCACTGTAGACACTCGTAGACGACTCTCGCTTTCGCTTGTTGTGCATATTGAACCCGGGGGTGCTGGCGCGTAAGTTCACCGCACGATTGTCGAGCCTGTTGTTGTTCACATGGTCCACCAAGTCACCTTCGACGATCAGGCGATGCATTCTTACAAGCTTACCATCCACCCTTGCTTGTGCATATCCGTGATTGTCTACACTCCATGAATACTTGGTCAGGTTGTAGTACTTGTCGTCGTCGACATGTATTTGTTTCTTATCGAATGTCGTGATGATGGCACTCCCATTAGAGTCTCGTCTGATTGGCGTTCCTCGGCGGATTTCGTCTTCAGCTCTCTTCTCCTCTTCAATCTCCCTTTTGTAGAGTGCCAGCTTTTCCACTGCATCGTCTAACGTAGGCAAGATGGGGGATTCGTACTTCTTCCCTTTGTATTTAATACGAACCAGGTAGAGGCCATGATGGGAATATATATTAGCTGGAAGGGATCTCTCTTGACGCGAAGGAAGGGCTCTCTCCATCGCGGCGGCATAAGTCAGCGTACCATTAGTCTTGGCATCCTCTCCGTACTTCCGAAACACACAAGCATCATACGCTTCCGCCGCCTCCTGAGCAGTGGTGTAGACTCCCAAGTAAGCTCCAGCGTGTCGAGCCTCATACTTTCCGCTCTCGTGTTTATAGACACCAAAGAATTCGTTTCCTCGCCGCTTGTCTGCATTCTGACAGTTTAGCGAGTATGTTGCAAATCGCAGATTGGATCGTTCATTGTTTGACTTGTTGCCGTCCTTGTGGTCCACTACGAAGCCTTTCTCCGGCTTGCCCAACACGAAGTGATGCAGCGTCGTGATGCGCCCGTTGACTTTTCCTCGAACATACTTGTCAGAATATAGGCGCCATTTGTGCATGCTTGCGCGCTCAAAGTCCTCATCAGAAACCGTGGTGTACTCTTTACCGTCTCTCAAGTGAATGCGTCGGCTCATCTTTGCTGCCTGGGAAGCGGTCTGTACAAAATCGGGTCGTGAAAGACTTTTTGTTTCCAGACCGTTGGGGTGAAAGGCCACTGTCTGTTCTGCGGCTCCGCGTCCGCCCTAAATGACGGCAGTCGGCGGGTTGATTGTTAGAGATGAATAAAAAGAAGGTAGATATACGCGTGTCATGTTCAAATGGGCATGAATTATTTTTGTTTCAATCGAAGGAATTCGCGCGTGATAGCCACGGCCTGTTCGGCGAGCTCGGCGTCTATCTTCAGCTTCTTTACGCTGTTGATGAAGAGGCTCGGCACGTACTCTACCTCGCTGCAAAACATCTTTCCATTCACGCAACAGCCCACGTCCACTCGGGTGAGGAGCCGCGGTAATGCGATTTTGCCCACGGTGAACTGCGGCGGCAGCTTCTTGATGACCTCTTCTCCCAGTCGACGCGCATCCCTCAATTGCTTGTTATCCGGGAAAGACCCTCCTTCGCTCTTTGGCTGTCTCTCGTCCTCGTGCTGCTCGTCGGTAATCATGCTATAAACGTAATCGCTCCCTACGTAGAACTGACGGAATTCGGGGGTGTCGTCGGCGAAGCCCTCGATAATGACCTGGAAGATTACTCCTGGGTATCCCACCTTGAAGATTTTCTCGAGGTATCCCGCGAGCCTGTGGTCTTCCACGCTGGCAGGAAAGAACTTGAAGTCGGCCGAGCCCTGTCCGAGCACGAGCTTCGCCACGAAGTCCTTCCACTTCTTCGCCTTCATCTGACGCCGGAGGGTCCGAATGACACCTTCTGCACCGCCCTTTTTGTAATCGCTCGATGAGAAATAGAGAAAGTCGGCGACTGGTATACCCGCTTTGCGCAGGTAATCGTAGTATAGATTCTTGTGTGCCACGAGTCGTTGATAGTATCCGCTAGGAAAGACATTATCGGCCTCCGTGATGGCCTTCACGAAACTCTTCCTGGCCTCGGTGGTCTTGGAATGCCACGAGTCCACGATGTCGAAGATGAGGAGAAAATTCATGTCGTTCTTGCGCAGCCTAGCAGGCGAAGCATCATCGGGCATGATCATGTCCACGTGCACGTCGGGGTAAGCTTTCTTAACGTGAAGAGCCACGGAGACATCGTACGTGACGGCCGGCTTTTTCTTGTATGTATGCACGTATTTTCGCGGAGCGTCCTCCAGCCAAGGACGATTGCGGTCTATCACCAGCATCTCGTCACCGGCGATCTCTTCAGACGGACAGTCCGTTATGATAAAGCCGATGCGCATAGTGTGCTAGATACTTGATACTTGAGCAGATTTTTTCGATTCAGACGTTCAATCATTCACCGTCTTTTTCTCGGACTCCAATTGTTTTCTCAGGAGCTCTACCTCTGCACGCAGAGACTCGTTCTCGGACATCAATCGTCTCATCTTCTCTGCGTTCCTCCTCCTATGATTGTAAGCATGCTGCTTGTTGCGCGCCTTCCTTATTTCGATCTTTCGAGCCATGTGGTCTTTTTTTTCTTCTTCGGGAGGTCTGACTTCTGGCATCTCTTCCTCGAAGAGCGTCTGCCAGAGTCTGCGGCCATCGGTAGAGCTGATATCAAGCAACGACGAAGCGGCATCCAACACCTCTCCCGTCTCCTCTACAGACGGAGCCGGTGGCTCCAACAGCTCCAAAAGACTCTTTGTGCTGATATCGACGATATCGCCCATCTTTTTCTGACGACTGGAGCCAGTCTCCTCGCCCCTTAAGTATCTTCGTCTCCGTCCGTTTCGGACGCCGCGTCCGAATCCTCCTCCTCATCCCCGGCGTCCGAAATCACTTCCTCCGTCTCCATTCCTTCCACGTAGTCCGGATCATCGTCCGAATCGTCCTTGGGCGTCTCGGTCGTAGCCGTGCTCTCGGCGTCCGAACCAGAGTCGTCCGAGTAGTCGTCCTCGAATTCCTCGCCAGAAAAGAGCTCGGGGCTGTACCTCTCCGGAGCTTTGATCACGCGTCCGAAACGGCTCCTCACCACCGGGGTCTCGGTGGGCGTGGGGTCCATGTTTATGTGTCCACGGCAGCGTCTCGCCCCCGCCCTAAGCCGAGTCACCGAGTCTTCGAGCGAGGCCTCTGATGACCGCTCTGCTCAATCCCCCGTTGCCCACCATCTTCAGAGCATCGTCGAGCGTCTTTGCGCTGAGGTTGTACATCATGGCATACTTGGACAGGACAGTCACGCCGTTGTCCTCCTTCCCGGTCTGCTTCATCTCTGTCGTGATCATCTGAGTGAAGTAGTACAGCCACTCCCCGTCCACGCAAGCGAGCTCCCTACACGCCAGACGCATGCTGCCGCGGACTTCGGAGAGTTTCTTGGCCCTGGATGCGGCGTACGAGAGCTTGCTCCACGCGCACGACATGTTGATGCTGCCTTCCTCCGTTCTCCGCTTGATCCCTCTTTTGCTCCTCTTTCGCTTCCCAAAGGCGTTGCTCTTCGGCCCCTCGTCCGGAGTCTCCTCGACCTCTCTGATCGTCCGCTTTCTGCTTCGAACTGGCGTCTCTCGACTCTCCGCCAATGCGTATCCGACCCTCAGAGGCCCGAGGTGCAGCATGTGGTCGAGGAAGCCCCAATCCTGCTCCCTGTGGATGTAATCGTCGAACATGTCCATCTCGGACGTAGCGTCCGCCGCTCTGGCCGCTACTCCGATGTCGTCTCTGCAGGCGAAGGGGTAGTTCTCCTGCACGAGCGAGGTGATGGCGTAGGACTCCTGGCACGCACCAGCTCGGACCATCCTGGCGATCTCTCCCGGCCCCGTCGTCATCTCGTACAGGATCGTTCTGGTCAACTGCATCTCGTCCATCTTACGACGGTCCGTACCTTGAGCGACGAGAGTCTCGTTCCGAACGTCCCTTCCATGGCCATATTCCAATTCCAGTGCACAGAGCAACCACCGCGCATCTCCTGCAGCTCTGAGGCAGAGTCTCGCCACATCTTGCCTCTGGTATGCTATATTCTCCGAGTGCAGTATGCGGCCCGCCAGCTCCTCGAGGACTTCGGCTTCCAGGTGCGGGAATCGGACCATAGAGGCCTTCTTCACCAGATCGTAAAGCTTGCCCTTGCCGGGCTCCTCGCTCGTCGTGCATATTATGGGGATGGGGCACTTTCTGACGGCATACTTCGGGTCTGCATCCCCATCCCATCGGTGATCTGCTATTCGGGCCAGCACATCGAGGCCGCAATTGTTGTTGGTTATAGCTATCGCGTCTATACTCTCCACCAGCACGGCTTGCTTGAATCCACTCCCCCACGACGAGCCGAACGTCAGCATCAGGTCGTCTTCCAGCGCGGACTTGGTGCGGTAGTCGCTGGCGTTCCTCTCCATCACGACGTAGCCCGACTCCTCGAGGAGCTCATAAGCTGCTGCAGTTTTGCCAGACCCCGTCGGTCCAGTCAGGACCAGCATGGACGGGACGCCCTCGCGCTTACTCTCCAAGTCCCGCAACCAAGCACGCATAGCTGTGCGCTGTTCGTCCAGTCCTACTAATTTACGAGAGTACTTTGCAGTCCAGGAGTTTGCTACGGGCCTTTTGGGTGCGACATCCTGATCGTGGACCTTAAAGTAGGACAGCACGTTGCGAGCCATCATGTCATACAGCTCACACAATAGAATCGCTCGCCCCTAAATCATGATCGACGCCCGTTCAAAGATGGCAGTACGTGAAAGTCTGCGGTGTTCTCTTCATGGATGTTCAACATGCCACTCTGATATGTGTTGGTGTGTTTCGGGAAATGTTGGACGAGTCCCGTTCCACAACCTTCCAGACACAGGGTGCGCCTGTCATCCGTTGCCAAGAGTGCATACACTACACGAACA